TATTTTAAGCCAAATAAATAGAGCTACATACTAACCTATTAACTATAAGACAAACATACCAAAAAAAAAAAAAAAATCATGTTGTGAGTCCTGAGGAAATTAACTTTGTCTAGATCTATGAACTACCGGGACCAAAAAAAAAAAAAAGATAAAATAAGGTGTGGCGACATGCCTTCACTGAAGAAGAGCTTTTAAATAAAAACATTCATAAGTGGGCGAGGAAGTCATCAAAGCATCCTTTTCAGGGATCGCCAATCTTTGGAGAATGTGCCAGACTGGAAACTCTGAAAGGTTGTGAACTCTTGCAGACATTGTGCAGAAGCCTCTCTCTGAATGTGGTCACACTGTGAGCACTAATTAACATGATGAAGTGATGTTAAGTTTCCCTCTGTTTTATGGCAGATTATTATTATTATCAATTCCTTATGGGCTCATTGCTTCAGAAGTAGTGTGAATGAGTGGAACCTGGGCCAAGGAAAGAAATATGACACAACTGTTGCGCATCCGGGCAAAAGTCGATTTTTTTTTTTTCCTCGTGTATAATGGACTCCTAATGACAAAATTCAGGTAAAGTGCTTAACAGATTTGAGAGACCAGCACGCACGGAGAGTTTATGCCACAGCATTTATAAAATATTTTTTTCAGGTTTCTGTAACGGTTTATACATCAGTAATTAGAAGCTCATAAAGCAAATGCTATTCTTCAAGGTAATGTAAAGTGAATTCAGAGATACTGTACGTTAGACCTGATTGAAGCTAATTGCTCAAAATGTGCTTTGACTGACAATTATGTAGTCACAAATTATGGACATACAGCATTAAACTGTTTTTTTTTTATACCGTTTCAGTTTCCCAAATTTTTTTATCTTGTGCACCTTCATCCAATTGTGATTTACTTAAGTTAAGTTATATAATTACTGAGCCTGTTTCTACCACTACAGTGTGCTATTAGCTCGCTAGCAATGCCTACAGCCTGAAAATGGATCTTACAAGGATGCCACAATTTACAAAACCGCTTCGTGTCTTTTTATACATTCCAGTGTATGTTGTGTTATTCATACTATCGTAATATGTAATATAACGCAAAGCATTGTAGCTAACAGAAAGTATGCGCCCAAAAGTTTGTTTAACAAACAGTTAACTTTCCCTTAAGTGTCTGCAATGTGGACTCACTCACACGCCGGCACAACACCAAGTGAGGAGCTCTTTTGCAGCAGACGAGCTTGCCGTCTGCTGCAACAGAGCGGCGTCACCTCCAAAGAGTCTCCTGGGGCCTGTTAGCTTACAAGCTAGGTGGTGGGTAGCGCTTCTCGTCAGGGCTTGTAAAGAAATACATTTCAGCCTCCGGAGGCTTCAAGCAGATGTATTTTCAAACATGTAGGGATGTGTAGGCACAGGAAAGTATTGGCATGTATGATTGACAGTTGACATTTGAGCAGGGCATAATTTCAGCACATTTAGAAGACACGCTTGGTGGTTATGAATTTGAAGCCTAATTTTATATACCGGTACTGATTTTTAAAATATGGCATGGATTACAAAACTATTTTTGCGTCAAGTTTTATTTGTTTTCACTTTATATGGGCTATTTCTTGATTAAGATGTCAAATTTTACTTAGTGACAAATTCCTAACCAGAATATTTCATTTCATTTTATTTTATTTTATTTTTGGGGGTTAAATAGCATGCTGGATTTTTTTTCTCTGACTTCTGAGAAACTTCTCAAATTTGTGTCTAAAAGGTGATTTCAGTTTAAAAATCGCCATTCTTGTTCAAAATGGTAAAATGTGAACTGCTGACTGAAATCGAGTCCACACTGTTTTTATGTCGAGTCAAAACTGGTTATCCATCAATTTGTTGTTCGCTGTGTATACAATATGATGAGGTGGTTAAACATTTATATGGTTCCACATAATTCACAGTCATAACGGCCCTCCAAGGGAAACCGTAACTACAATGTGGCCCGCGACAAGAATGAGTTTGACACTCGTGCTTTACAGTATGAGAGCTGCTCTAATCCATTTGTTAAGTGCTGTTTATGTAGCACGTCGGTATCCGTGACGGTCTAGTTAGTCTGTCTCTCTCTCTCGCTGTGACACATACACACACACGCACGCACGCACACGCACACTTCCTAATGGCTTCCTCTCACCACTGACAGCTGACCAAGTTTAAATGACTGGGCAGTCAACACCTTTGCCCTTCTCATGTCCCATCATCCACTCAACTTGCATTCTTCCACTACACCGTTTCAATCTTCGGTGTCGATTTAACCTGATGTTGTCGGGTCGTGGTTGAGGGGGGGTAAAAAGGATGAAAACAGACAGGGAATGTGTCACCACTCCAACTCAGATTGACAATCAAACTCTCTCGTATTCCCTCCTGTCCGCATTTTGACTTGTATGTACTGCCGGACCCACACACACACACACACACACACACACACACACACACACACACACACACACACACACACACACACACAAACACACACAGGTTCGTAAAAGTATTGAGACGCTTCAGAGCCTCTTGACATTAGCAGTCAAGAGTACGGTTGGCTGACATCAGACACCATTTTGACATTTGACATTTAAAGCGTGGCCTCTCAAATTTCGAGGTGCTCGCAGAGCGGGCTCCAGGTATACCCAACTCATCCACAATATTAGGTGCATTTGTAGGTATCGTTGCTTTTGTATTTATTTTTCGGATACTTTTACGTTTCAAAACCAATAGCTATACTTTGAACACCTATATTTGTCAAAATGGGCTTGTTACTGTATGTTTTTCACGCATATGACATCACATTAAAAAAAAAGAGGTAAAAGTACTTTTTAGAGGTCCAGGGACATTTGAGTTCCTAAACTTATCTGATTCGAACTTTTTAGGAATCAAATCTATATGTATCAACAACCAAAAATTTCTGGAGCTTTTGGTGGAAATGCAGGTTTTTGTTGGTCCATTTTTTGCTAGTTAGCGCTTCATCGAAATGTGCGACTAAATTCGCACATCCGCACTTTTTTCCAGATCCTCACCAAAGCCGTAATAGCGTTTTCCTTTGCCATGAAATGTGTTTTATGTTTTATCTGCCCTTCTATTTCATCCAATCTTGGAACTGAACGGCGACAGCCAATCATGTCCATTACGACAGACTCAGAGGAAGTGAGTCAGCGTTAAATGTCAAGCGTGAGCGTTAATCACTTGCCGCACCTGCTGATTTTTCCTCCTAATGGCATCTGTTGACATGTTTGATTCATGTTCAAAATGTGAATGATTACTTACGCGCCACCGATAATAATAAGAACTTAAAAAAAAAAGGGAATTTTCAGACCGTGGAAAAAGCCGTACCTGTATGTGTGTGCGTGTGCAAGAATGTTGGCGGGTTATACAGCAACTGACAGAGTAATGGATTTCCTCATCCGTTGTATGTGGACGTGGTGTGATGTATGAGATTCATTTGAAATTCTCCGACTTAAATTAGGCGCTTGCGTGCGAGAGAATGAACTTGCAGGCAGAACTTCTTTGATTTTCATGTTCATCCCACTTCATGCCAAATAAATGTGTGTGTGTGTGTGTGTGTGTGAGAGAGAGAGAGAGAGAGAGAGAGAGAGAGAGAGAGAGAGAGAGAGAGAGAGAGAGAGAGAGAGAGAGAGAGAGAGAGAGAGAGAGAGCTTAGGGGTGCAACTAAGAATTATCTTAATGAGCAATTTAGTTGTTGATGACCTTGGCAATTAAGCGGATTCAATTTCCATCCCTTTATTAAAAACAAAATTATTTCAATTTCACAGTGAAGAAAGTGCACAAAAAAAATTTGGATTTAGTTCCTGGGTTTTGTCCGTCGCATGAAAGGAAATGGGCACAAATGTTGATCATCGTTTTCCAAAGTAAATGCAGACTTTTGCAAATGTGTTATTTTGATCCCACAATCAGTCATCGTTCATGGAGGACCACAGATATCAATGAATTATTTTGAGATTTAAGATTTATGACTGATGGCTGAAATTCTGAGGATTTGAAAAATGTCATAAATATTAAGCGATTTAGTTGATCATTGCTTGTATATTGATTTATCTATCTATATCTACATATAACTGACTAAATTAAATTATAATTGTAAATAATTTGACAACAATGAACACACAATTCAATAAAAGTAACATATGGAATCCATCATAGAAAATGGATGGCATTTTCTAATCGCAGCTGTCTTCAGCGGCAGGCGGGGGACACCCTGAACTGGTTGCTAACCAACCATTTGCATTCACAATCACACCAAGGGACAATTTAGAGTGTTCCGTTAACCAACAGTGCATGTTTCTGTAATGTGGGAGGAAACTGGAGTTCCCGGAGAAAACCCACGCAGGCACCGGGAGAACATGCAAACTCCACACAGGAAGGCCCGAGCCGGAATCGAACCCTGCACCTCTGCACTGTGAGGCGGATCTGCTAACCACTCGAACACCCAATTCCGCTCAATGGAATTTGTCCTTGAAAGTAATTTTACTCACTTTTAATTTTAGTTTATTCTCCTTCATCAGAGGTGGACAAAATACAAAATACACACACGTTTTCTTTCAGGTTTTATGCAATTGGACTTTATTGCGAGGAAGATTTGGAGTATAGTGACAGAACAAACTGCAACATGTTTTCACATTGCCTTTTAAAAAAATACAAACCTTATCGACACCGTTTTAACGAATGTCATCATGAAATGACATTTCATATTAAGAGAGATTAAAAAAAAAAAAAATCCACGGTTGAAATGTACACAGAAAAATAACTATAAAACATTTGGACATGCAATAAATACATTCATTTCATTAAAAGCATATTGGCATTTAAATTTTTTTTTTTTTTTAATTAGGCAGAAATACTGTTTGGTTGTATTGCTTAAAAAGTGACTGATGGACAACAACGCGGCGGCATGTCATGTGAATGAAGACATTTCCGTTGCAAATGTGTGTTTGCTTTTCCATGTGTGCTGCGCTGTCAGCGTGGCAGTGCGTCCCGCGACTGAACTTTCTACGGGCACATCGCAGTCATCCTCATTAGATCGTAATCCAACCAGCCACCCAATCCATCAATCCTGCCCTTAATTTCTGATTCATGTGTGTGTTTGTGTGTAGGAGGAGAACCCCGAGGCAGTGGACAATCTTGGCACGTTTGTTCCCTCCGATCGCCCGGTCCTTAATAATGACTTTTTCTACAAGAAGCGACACTCCAAATGCGGCATGGCAACTTCATTAAAGATGATCTAATCTGGAGTCTGCAGGCCTTGTGTCTGTGAGTTCTGGTCTTCCACACAATATGGGGACGAATGCCTAACAAATGACATCATGGGGACATCTTTCAGCGTGGGGACCAAAAATCAAGGGAAGCCCAAAATACGAAATGTTAAGGTTTTAGCATTAATGTAGGTGTGTGCACTGGTTTTCACCATTGTGGAGGAACAAGAGTGATCTTGCAGTCACCTCATGAAAATCATGTCAATGTGGGGACCAAAAAAAAAAAAAAAATCAAGGAAAGCTCCAATTCTGAAAGTGTTAACCATTTACTGTATGTGTCTGTGTGTGTGTGTTCCAAAAGTCAGTCTACATACACTGTCAAGTCACGGGGATATCTTTCAGTTTGGGGAACAAACGGCGAGGAAAGACCAAACTATGAATGTAATATTCTAGAGGTTTCTTTGACATTTTTAGAATTGGTAGATTCATGCATGTGTATGTGTGTTCTGGTATTCATGAACATGTGGGGAGATATGACAGTTCACAGAGCCATGATTTTTTTTTTTAATGTTTTAAGTGGCCCCTTTCACTGATGTCAAACATGAACTTACAAGAATTTAGTCAGAAATAGTGCAAAAAATGTGCACTGTCACATAGTATCTGCAGAAAAAAAGTAAAAATAAAACGTAAAATATTGTCATGAGAATGCTACATTTTATTTGCTTCACCCCCCCTCCCCCCAAAAAATTTTTAAAAATAAACATTTTCAAGTACTACAAAAAAATGTTCTCGACCGCATTGCACTTTTGTGCAAAATCCTACTCAACTCAATTCAAGCGACAGCAGACACTTTGAATTAGACGCTGAACAATGAAAGGAATTCAAATTGACATCGCGATTTAGTGGAATGCTATTTTCAAATGGTAAAGGATGCAGTCTGGGGAAAAAAAAAAACCTTTGCTTAGTCTGTGTTATTTTTCCATCTGTAATTTATGTATTTATATGGCGTCTCAATAAGTTCAGTGCTTTTAAGTGCGGTCCAGATGTTGACATAAAAAGCTGAAGTGACAAAGCCATAGATTGGTTTGCATGAGCTGATTTATGACAGATTCATGCGTGCATCACACTTGGGTCTGTAGAATTTTGTGAAGCGGTCGTCGTGAGCACTTGGAAGACTGCAAGTCCAATCGCAACTCTTAGGTGAAGTCGCTAAACTGACTTTCAATTCATGGTTAATTTGCCTTTATTTTAGCATAAGCTAAAGCTACGAGAACAAACATGTATAAGTCTGATATCTGTCTGATATTTATTGTAACAGATTACTTTATTGCTGGGGCTCTTAAAAAAAAAAATACATGAAAATAGACATTGGGGAAAAAATAATCACATATTTTGCAGTCGTACTATTGAGGAGTTTGGGGTGGGGGAATTGCAATGAGATGATAGTTCAAAATCATTCATTCCTAATTAAAAGTACCAAAAAAAAAAAAGCTGTGTTCCCCTGTTAATAGATCCCATTGACATTAAAACTGCACTTTTGCTTCTCATCCAGCTGCAGCAAAGCTTCACAGTTGTGAGGGCGAGCTGACATGATGAATGAGCACCCAAAAGTCGGACAATGAGCTGCATCATTTCCTGAAGGTAATCACACTTTCAGCTTCACCAAACAGAAAAAGAAACAGCAGGCGAGGCAAGACGCTATTCCCCCCCCCCCCTTCTTCTCTTTCTTACAATTTGGTTTCTGGCTTTGCTTCTTTTTCCCCTTGTTCCCTTCATCTGGGCGCATGACTTGGCTGCTGTGCACCCGGAGGGCCTTGGCGCAATTGTGCAATTTCATACATGTTTACTTTGCTGGCATCTTTCTGAGCAGTATTCATTTCCTCTGGTTTTAATCTCGGTTTTCTTGGCGGTGGCGGGGGGTGGGTGGTGGAGGACGGGGGGGGGGGGGGGTTGAGCAAGATTTAAGGAGGGAGTCAGAGCTAGTGGAGAGGCAAACGTGGGACATGTCAGAAAAGGAGCGCAACGCAAGGCAAGTTTTGAGCATTGGCCCAAAAAATTTGAATGCGTGAGCTATTCTGAAAACAATCTGTTCAAGCTGTACAATTGGCCCCATTTATGTATGTGTGTGTGTGCGAAGTGGTCTTCATCACCCACAAAATGTGAACGTATGGGCAGTCTGCTAAAGTTGTACAATTGGCACCATTTGTGTATGTGTGTACTGGTCATTTTGATGATATGGGGACTAAAGTCAGCTGATAAAGTGACACCAAGGCGGCGTTTTAGAGCATGGGAACCAAAAATCAGGGGATAATAATCATGGAAAAACAAGCTATTTTGAAGTCATCTGTGCTGTGCGACCAAAAATTAGGAAAATTTTAAAATATATGAAAGAATGACCTACTCTGAAGACATCTGTTACGTTTTTAGAAATTTACCCATCGTGCACGTGTACGTCTACTCGTCTTTGTCACTTTTTGGGGACAAAAAGTCAGTTTACACAGTCACATCATGGGGACCAAAAATAGGGAAAGGTCAAAATACGGATGCATAAGCTGTTAAGTAATTTTACTTTTTACACTTGGCCCTGAAAATTGTTACTGCAAACCGTCATGAGTCTCTTATCGCTATTTTGGGGACAAAAAGGTAACGTCATGGAGATCCAAGATCAGGGAAGTCTCAAAATGCAAATGTACGCGCTATTATGAAGGAATCTGTTTTGAGAATTGGCCCAGACTTAAGTTTCAGTTTCTATAATTCGACGAAAGCTATTCTGAAGAGTATTACAAATCAGCCTAGTCGTGTATGTGTGTATGTGTTGGTCATCCTCACGATCTGGGGACAAAAACTGGACATGGTCCCATCATAAAATCAAGGTGAAAAAAAGGAATGTGTTCCATTTTTAGAACTGACCCAGACTAATAAAGTTGGTTTAGTTATGTCTTTTAGCCTGGCAACCAAAAATCTGAGAGAGCTCCAGAAGTGAATGCGTTTTTAGAAATGGCCTGGACAAAATTCTTCTGAGTTTCAGTGTGGGGGACCACAAATTTGGGAAAAGTACAAATCTGAATGCTTGGGCTTTGTTTAAGTTTATTAGAATCAGCCAAGTCATGTAAGTGTGTGTGTGTTGTGGTCATAATCATTATGTGGGGACAAAAAAAAAGTCACTTTGTGAGCATTGAGACCAATGAAGGAAAGCTCAAAATAGGACAGCATTACGGGAATGAAGTTTGTGGTCGTCAAAGTGAAATCAAATTTAGGCAGGGGTCACTCACCCGGGCGACAGCTAATTTTTCACTTGGAGCGGATGAAACGAGGAATAAAAGCATCACATACACTGATGTCGATGTGAAGCAGCTGCTCAGAATGAAGGCAAGTAATCGGGGCGGGCGGCACCCTTGGGGGTGCGGGGGAGGCGGGCAGAGGTGCACAAAGACAACACGCGCGGATGACCACGCTGCTTACATCAGCGACATTGCTCACTTCAAGCAGCGGCGTGCGCAATCACGCAGGGAAAAAAGTCCATTCTTAGCTCCAGGGATGAAAATGGACCGTTTTTCTCTGTAATTTGGCAGTTCATAAAAAAAGGAAATAGGCAGTGGACAATGGTGGCTTTTGGCACCTATGATTATGCACACTAAAAGGCAATGATGCACAGCCAGCACGTGAATCCATAAAACTGAATAGACAGTCGGAGATATTTCTTTTTTAAGTAATGTCGGGTTAGTACTTCTCCCCTTTGGATGCGGCTAAAATTATTATTCTTATGTTTTTTTTTGTTTTTTTCTTTCCCAAAGTTGGTAGGAAGCTTTAAAAGCCAACATCCATCTTAAGGCTACTGGAATTCATCCAGACTGTCTTCTTTTTTCCATATATTATTTCCATACTGTTAGTGTTTTAAAAGTTATGGGTCTCACACTGACATTTAAAAAGGAAAGAAACGGCAAAAGAAATCAAGCATGAGCATATAAAAATTTAATTAACCCACTGCGAAGGCTTTTATTTGGCTCTGCTTTGTTAATGGTATTTCATAAAAGCCTTATCACCTTCAAAACTGCTAAACTACGCTGGAGGCTAACGAAGCTTTTCTGTACCAAATAAATGCATGCGCACACACACACACACACACACACACACACACACACACACACGATATGGAAGTGTGTGCTTTTATCTGACTTTGTCCAATCAGATGCAACCTTCAACAGTTGCAAACAGTTGCAGACGTTCACCAGACATTCCCTAACAGTCTTAATGGTTGCAAACTTTTTTTTTTTTCGTGTCGCCATCAAATTTTTGAACATGCTCAAAATTTGCTGGCGACAAGAAAAACTGTGTGAAACCATTAAAACTGCCGGCCAACGTCTTTGACCACCCTGAACGAACCCTAGCCAAAAAAAAAAAACAAAAAAACAGTGTTCGCCATGTGTGCACATACTTTCAAAACTTCGCTGCTCGGTGAAATACGACCTTAAATGCGCATCGCCATCCAATCGGTGAACAGTATCTACCTACGGACTTTAGTGATACCAAATAATCCTCCAAAGTGCTTTGTTTGGCAATCGTTTTTGTTTTCCCGGTGAACTCTGCCTAGCAGGACGCAGAATATCTAATGTTGGGTAAAGGAAAGAATTTGAGTAATGTTGCTACAATATGTTCAATAGCTAATTCACTTTTTATTGGTCAAGGTTCATTTTGCTCTTTTTTTGCATTGGTTTGTGGGGCAGGATTGGCTGAGCCCAATGAACTCTGCCTCGCAACAAGCGACAAAATATGAGCGAATGTCATTTGCGGACTCCAGTTGATCTATGTTGCGATTCTCAAAAGTTATTGCAGTTGTGAAGTGTTATAATGAATAAATAATGATTTGTGTAGTCTGTGCGGTTTGTAACATTGCCTTCGGAAGATATTTTTGTAATAAGCATACTGCCGTTTTCTTGGTATGCAGCCTACCTAAATGCTTGCTACTCAACCAATTCCGCCCCCCCCCCAACCCCCGCTCTTAACGATAAATCCACAACATCCACACCACAAAGCGCTTGAACGCCTTCCAATGCATTCGACCGTATCACCGTGACTCCGAGCAGAGGTTTATTCCCAACCGAGCAAAGTGGGGAAGGAAAAGCCAAGATAATGACTTGTTTTGTGAATGGAGCATTTTCGAGATTCACGCGGGCTTTTCATAGGCGGACAATGGCTCAGGCTCCACCCCGCTTGCACTCGCCCCGATTCCTCTCCCTCTACTATCTGCCTCGACACATCCTGCGCCACGGGCAAAAGTTCACTTCCTGCTCCTCGGCTCGTCTCCTTCGCGCCCAGCTTTATTGCCAGGATGTGAATTAGGCCCTGCTCCGCATGCTCCGATGGCATAAACAGACAAGCAAACACTTCCGGCCCACTGACTCCTATAGGTTATCAACATCAGCGCCTCGCTCACTCGCATGTTCCCGGACAGTTCTTCAACGAGTCAACTGCGAAATTGTTTTCATAAGGTAGCCTTTTGGGGATTACTGACTGATTGCAGAAGCAAAATATACAAGCAGGCCTTAAAAAAAAAAATTGCCCTCAGTCGGACAAAACCCATTCAAGGAAGGCGTATTTTTTTCCCTAGTTGTCATTAGCTAATTAAAAAAAAAGATTTGCTTGTATTATAAGAATAGTATTATTTTAATTATGGTCTATTGCATTTTATATATTCTGGGGCGAAAAATGGGAAGACTTTCCGATAACCCCCCCCCCCCCCGCGCCCCATGTTGTTATTCACAATATTTTGGGGATTATGATCATATGTAATATAGAGAATATATACCCACCCACACCATCAAGGAACATCGACAGGTGGCCCAAACAAAAAGACGTTTAATTGTGGGGCTCTAAATCATGATACAGTATATCAATAAAGTTGAGTTGAGGGTGTTTTTTTTTGTTTGTTGTTTGGGACCATGGGAACAAGGTGTCATCACAGAAAAACTTAGTCAAAACTAAAGCATTTCCCCCCCCCCCACACACACACACACATACACACGCACAGACACAAGCACACAAACTCACTTAGTATAAGCACATTGTAAATTAATAAAAGTGGGAATCTGTGGACAAAGAAGTTTTTTTTTTCTTTCCATTTAGCTGTGCAAAGTTATCTAAACAGGTATTGCATCCAACCATCCATTTTCCGATCCGCTGGAGCCTATCCCAGCCGTCTTCGGGCAGTAGGTGGGGGACACCCTGAACCGGTTCCCAGCCAATCTCAGGGCACACACAGACAACCATCCACGCTCACACTCACATCTAGGAACTAAATTTAGAGTGTTCAATCAGGCTGCCGTGTATGTTTTTGGAATGCGGGAGGAAACGGGAGTACCTGGAGAAAACCCCACGCAGGCACGGGGAGAAAATGCATTGTCTACAATTGATGGTAGAAATTAATGTTTACCTTTTACTGTTACAGTGAGCACATTTTAGAATCTATATTTTGTCATCTTCACTTAAAGAAAACATAGGACAACTTCTTAAGCACGGAATGTGAGTACTTTTACCACCTTTGATTCTGGTTTTCATATGGGGACCCAGTGGGAGACCACCGATAGCAGTCTAAGGAAAACCTCATAATTGAGGTTTTTGAGCACATGTGGTTTATTTTTCTGTCAGTATGTACATTTGTGTGTGTGTGTGTGTGTGTGTGTGTGTGTTTTGGAGCTTCTCCTTGAAAAAAAAAAAGGGGTTATCTGACTCTTCCTCTTACTGCTTAGATTTGGTGCTACAGAGGAAAGTGTTATTTTAACAGGGGGGGCACATTTTCATTAAAATGAGTGAATAAGCTGCTGAAATTCCCACACACTCATAACGCATATCAGAAAATAACCCCCCCCCTCCAAAAAAGAAAAACGAGTCCTCGTGTGTGTGTGTGTGTGTGTGTGTGTGTGTGTGTGTGTGCTGTATAAATGGGTGTATGTGTGCATGCGTGTTGCCTCAAGCTCTTGAACACTGTGTCAAACGGGCTGTGAAAAGTCCCTGGAAGCTCCACTCTGAACCCAAACAACATCAACATGGCATGGCGCTCAGCCCCGAGTGCGGTTCTGATGTTCACAGACAGCCCGTGAAGACAGCCACCGACTGGGGCAGACCCGTAGACGCCTTTTTTTTTTTTTTTTTAAAGGACAACACAATGGAAAGTGTACGCCACATCGTAATAATCATAATAACAATAAAAAAGCAGTATCAAATATTATCGCTCTGCTGTAAAACTAACGTATAAACAGACAATAACCACAGGTTTAAAAACAGAACAACTGCGTGTTGTTATGTGTGCATGTGTCTTGTGTGTGTGTGCGCGTGCGTGGTCCTGAGGTAAGCACCAGTTTTCATGTGCACTGCTTTGGTTGGACAAGAAAAAGTGACAGGAAACAACAGATTTGCTATTGGACATATACTGTATTACACAAATGAAGCCCCTTAAGGCAGGGGTGGGGGAACACATGCATGCGGATGGAATATAAAAACAAATACAAAACCTCAGAGGAATTGTTATAAAAAGCCCCAAAACATTTAACCCACATATTTCAAAAAGTTCCCCACTGCTGCCTTAAAACGACTGTTACATCAAAATACAGAATACAGATAAAAATCCCAAAATGTAAGGCACATTTTTTTTTTTTTTTTTTGGTGGGTGGGAGGTGGGGGGGGGTAGCTTTTTCAGATAAAAGTCATTCGGTCCATCACAGTGTGTTTATGGCTTAAAAGTCTTCACATTCACCCTCTGAGGTTGACGTTGGCACGATAGTGGTCAGACGATCTGAATTAAGGACTCGTGAAAGAATAAGGGAGGCAAAAGCAAAAGTCTGCAGGATATTCTTTGGGATAAAAGCATTTTGAATGTAATAAGAATAAGTGCCTTCAAACCCGCAAACTTCAAGTGCTCTTTTGTTTTCCGACTGCCAGTGATCCCCCCATGCAAAAAAAAAAAAAAAAAAAAAACGCTTTTCATCATTGTTTTTTTGTGGCTTTGGTATCAGCATGGGGACGAAAGGGAGGAGCGGTAGGGAGGTAATTCGAGGCTTCAGATGTTAGTAAGTCGCGCTGAGGGGATGGCAGCCATGAAATGGGTACGTGGTGTGTGCGAATTGTCCTGGAGAAAGCGAGATTTCACAGGGATTACTGGCGCCCAACAGCTGGGCCGGCCTACAACCAGGGGGCCTCGTGCTCGCATCGCTGACAGATTAGCAGCTTCGCTAAGTGTGTGTGAAATAGAGTGGGGAGGGGCGGGGAGATAAGGCGCGTGTGTGTTTAACACTCACGTTGGCATGTCAACGGTAGCTGGGCTTCACGGACGTGACAGCGGGACTGGGGTCAAATCCCTGATTGGCTCCGTGCAATTAATCAACTTCGAATGGAGCGATTAGTCCGAGGGCGACACCCTCGTTGACGGACAGGTATTTTTGTGTTGCCAGTCGATTAAAGGGCATGTATAAAAACAGACAACCATTCACAGTCGCTAATCAATGGCATAGCAATAAGTTTTTCAGTGGTGTGGCTACAGTGATATGCACACGTGTGCATACATTCTTGTCAGGCTCTGGAACTGAGAAGTCATTGTTCGTCATACCATCCACAGTCCGGGTTTCATGATATAAACTGCACAAATGTAGAGAACCCTGCCCAACACACTCAGAATGCAAGCAGGGAAAAGTTATGTTTTGATGCGCTTAATTGACGAGGTCATGCCATTTTCTTTGCCGTTGCGATGCTTTTGCGTACTATCTCACAGTGAACTTGTATGTCATGCTCGGAATCACTAGCTAACAGCAAATAAGAGTGAGCAATTGTCATCAACGGCCATTTTGCATACCGCGATCGATGGCTCGTTCATTCAAATCATTTCTAAAAAAAAAAAAAAACACAAGGACACAAATGTCTCTTAATTCTTCACAATTCTTAAGAGTTACTTTTCACTTTCAGGTTTGTTGTCAGTTTAATACACGCGTGCAGTTTATTTCGTGAAACCTGACGGTGGATCGCATGATAAACAATTGAGTTCTCGTCCATGTTGGTTATTTGGTGTGTTGGAAAAGTAATGATTTTGAGTGTTGTTGACAGTCGGGATATAATGTTCCGAACCAAAGATCAATTGTACGTCTAATCTTTAAAATATGCAATTAATATAAATGTATTGTGTCAGCTTTAAGGAATCTAAGAAAAGTGCACCTGTGTGAAAATGGCAGGAAAATCACAGATACCAAAATCTTCCTCTTGATGTGGGGGGTGCCAGAGAGCGAGCGCTGGGCACCAGCTAGCTCCGCCCCTGACCCCAACTCCAAACCACATTCACACAGTCAGCGAGCGGGAACTGAACCTACGACATGCGAGTGTACCACTATGCCATCAGTGACTCCAGAGTAGGAAATTCAAAAAAGAAAAACTCCCAATGTTCTAAAAGCCCAGATGATCTGGACACAAACCCTGAATCTTGTCCATTTGCTTCTCATAACACAGGTTGAAGGGTTGAAGCTTCTCTTTGGGTTTCATCATAATAGAAAAAATAAATAAGCATTTTCAGAAATTTTTTTTATGCTTTGGCTCAATGGCTGAATTGTTTTTGGTGGTATTTTTTTTTTTTTGCATACACACACATAAATACTGCTCTCAAGCAAGTGTCCCTTGGTCACAGGATAGATAGCACAGTGCTCCTTCCGGTAGGAGGCTTCAAAGATTAGACGCATAGAAAGGCACTTACAGTCGCCACAGTCTGAGGTGCAGAGGGGTTATTTACTTGAGGTGAACGGCGTCAGAATACTGCGTGTGGCTGTGGTGATCGCTGGTCTTTAGCTGGGCGAGTAGCGGTCAATGGTGCGGGCCTCGGAGAGGGCCTGCTGGGGCGGGGGCAGGGCTTGGCACAGGATGTCCATCTTGTCGTGGCCCAGAGCCCCCAGGTGCTCCGACGCCAGTTTGGAAAGCGGGTAGAGACTCTCCATGACCTTCGCGTCGGCCACCAGCTGCTGCTGCGCCTGGAGGAGGAGCTCGTTGGCCTTCTCCTGCTTGAGCCCCAGATGTTCAGCCGTGTACTTGCTCAGGGGGTAGATGCCCTCGGCAAAGTCCAGCTTCAGCTTGCCTTCGGCGGTCAGGCCGCCGGCCGCTCCCCCGCCGCTGTGCATCTTCATGTGACTGATCAGGTTGCGCTGCTGGGCGAACTTTCCGCCGCACACTTGGCACTCGTATGGCTTCTCCCCGGAGTGGATGCGCATGTGCTCGGTGAGGCGGTACTGGCGGGTGAAGCGCATGCCGCAAGAGTCGCAGGCGAAGGGCTTGAGGCCCAGGTGGCTGCGCATGTGGCGCGTCATGGTGCCGCGTTGCGTGAACTTCTTGCCGCAGATGCTGCACGGGTAGGGCCGGGTGAGCCAGTGGGTCTTTTCGTGCTGCCGCAGAGTTGCCGGATCCTTGTAGGACTTATCGCAGGAGGAGCAGCGGTACGGGCGGATCATCTCCCCGATGGTCCCCGGAGCCAAAACCTGGTTGGACTTTGTCTCCAGATGGGAGAGACTGCTCAGGGCGGAGCCGCCGGTCAACCCGCCGTAGCCGTTGGTGCTGCTGCTGATATTCTTGCCGCTGTTGCCGTTTCCCAGCTCGCCGCCCGAGTTGCCGTAAAGCTCTTCCTCCGTGTGAGTCTCCACATGCGCGTTGAGCTGCTCTGAGCTCGGGAAGCCCTTGTCGCAGGGGATGCACACGTACAGATTGTCCCCGTAACTCTCCGGCTCGTATGGAACATGGAACCTCCCCATGGGTCCGGAAGGCGACGGGCGACCCTCGCTACTGCCCGTCTCCTCAGTGCCGGAGCCGCTCTTGTCGTCCGGCCCCTCGCTTTCCTCCTTGTGGTGGTTGTGCCGCCGTTCTCCGTTTTCGCCCCCTTCCTCCTCATCCTCGTCTTCATCCTCGTCCTCAGCCTCGGCCGCGTACGGCAGCGGCTCGTGTTTCACCCAGCGGTAGATGTTGCCTACTTCTCTTCCGGCCTCCCCGACTTCTGTGAGGGTGTCCGGGCTCGGAGGGCACGGGAAGCGGTCGGTGCCCTGCGATCCCGAGCGATGGAGGTGGGGCAGGTGGGGGCCGAGCGGTTGGTTGTGTGGAAACGGCGGTGGAGTGAGAGTACTCGTCTGATCCGCCGTCTCCATTTTTTCGGATGGGAAGGCCCTGCCGTTGGCTCCCTGCGTGGGACTGGCGTGGCCGCTCGGGGTCCCGTCTCGCTCCTCGTCGTTGTGGGTGCTGACCACATGGGACTGGGAGGGGGTGTGCTGAGATTGAGAGTTGGGACTCTTCTTGGAGAGGTCCAGGCCATAGTTTGGGGAGCAGTTCCTCTCCGGAAGCGCCGAACGTAGGCCAAGCTGAGCTGGCAGCACCGACTGAATGGACGGAAAGGCCTGGGGGCCTTGGGTGGAGGTGGGGGCGTACAGCTCGCCGGTATGGATGGCGAGCCGATGGGGAACCAGCTCCTCCAACGGCGGAGGCCGCGGCGCGTGGCTGTTCATCATCCCCCCGGGAGGACACGGCTGGATGACAGGAGTGGAAACCCTGTAGCGGCCTCCGCTACCTAGCCCCATACCGCCCATCTTTGCGTAAGGCAGGAAGGCGGGGGTGGTGCGAGTTTGGTACTTGCCATTTCTTTTAAGTTTCTTTTTGCACAGAGCTACTAAGTCAAGCAGCTGCAGGTAGCTTGCCGCAGCCAAAACAGCACCCAGGTTGGGCTCGGTGGGAGAAGCAGGGTCCCCCTCGGTGAGGCGGCCCGTGTAGATGTAGTCCAGAATGACCCGGAAGACCCCGGGACTCACCATCTCATGGTCAAGGTTGATGAGATTGTCGTGAACCACCAAGGACTTCAAGTAGAGGCTGCTGGCCGCCAGAATGTTCTTGTGTGCCCGGAAGAGGGCGTTCTGCACCACAATGATGACATCGCAAAGGAATCCTTTGGTGCGCTGGCTGTTGAGCTGCAGGAGGAGATCCCGAGCGTGACTTGGTACTTCCATGGCATCCAGCATCGTCTTCAGTCCGCCACCTACAGACAAATGGAGAGCAGTGAGAGGTCATGTTGAGGATTCAAAGAATTACATCGAGTAAGAACACCCCAGACCAGTTCATCGCAGGGCACATATCGTCAAACAAGCATTCCGACTCACTTTCACAACAATTGACAGTTTTTTGAGTATTCAGTTAACCAGTCATATATGTCTCTGGAATGTGGCAGGAAACCGAGATTCGAACAGAAACCCGCTGAACTGTGGTGGTGCTAACCAAAAATCTTCTGCTGACACTGGTAACGTGCTGGAAGCAAAATCAAAAACAAGAACGGAGATACTGAGCCTGGAGGCCCTCAATCGGATCCCAATGGTATGGGCAGAAATATTCATTTTCACTTGTCAGCGGACCGGCCACATGTCACAACACAAGAGACGAAGTGAGTCACAAAGCTGCATTCATGTATGAAAGTAATTAATCTGCGGTCCCGCTAAATTCACTGGCGGGATTGTTCGACATATGTCAGCGGTCGTGTCAATTGTGCAGCAGAACAAGCAGGCTGCGGCGCGACAGTGTGAGAAGCGCATACCAGAGAGGGGCTCAGTGAAAGTCAAGGGGAAGCGAAAAAGGTGAGCACCGCTGCTGCGTTTCTCATCATGAGAAAAAAACTCAGGTCCCTCATGCGTTCGCTTCCTCTGCAGCAGGCGAAATGTGAGAGAGCCGTCAAGAGGCAGAGAACCCCCACTCAAAAAAAAAAAAAAAAAAAGAATTGAGGCTGCAAATGGTTTTGTGCAGAGATTTGAACAAACTGGACGCGGTGAAGGTTTCACAAGTGTGATGAAGCGCACGTAGACTAACGGTTCCAAAAAATGATACCCACAGGGGAAATAAAGGTCGAATTTGCCATTGGTTACACATCATGCTGACTCTGTTCGACATGACAAAATGCAAAATGACCCCTGAGAGAGAGAGAGAGAGAGAGAGAGAGAGAAATAAACTGAACATTTGAATGTTTTACAGTAATTTGATCTGTAGTATTTTATTTGTTTGGCTTTACAATAGAGTCAAAAATGGACAAATATCAGCTGATTTTCTGGGAAGGGAAATGTTTCAATGTCATTCCCTTTGCCTTATGTTGTAAGGCAGCTGTCCCCAAACTACGGCCCGCGGGCCGGATCCGGCCCGCCTCCGCATTTGGTCCG